TCTGACTTACATAATAACATTCTGGCATACATCATAACACTCTGAATGCATGAGGAAAGGTATCCTACATTATTTAATAATACAACTTTTGTAGTCAATTCTCTTTGTAGTTAATTCTTTGTAGTTAATTCTCTAAAGTTGAGATAAATAAAGTTGATATAAATAAATACTTTTAATTTTTAAAAACTACTTTGTTGTTTTGTGACTTCTTCTAAATTTTAATTTGTCACAAAAGTAAAGTTATTCTGTTTATTTATTACTTTATTATTAATTGTAGTTTGCATAACTATTGATACAATTTTTTCTTCTAATTAAAAATAACTTAAAGTAAAATTTATGATTGCTTTGGCAACAACTTGGGGTGACTATAACCTATGTGAAAAAATGTAATTAAATCGATTTTCAATATTATATTTTTGATTTACTTTCTAGATTTTGTTGTCTATAGATATAATTTTATGGTTTACTTTTTAATTTTTGTTTTTAGGATAAAATACAAATTAAAAATCTTAATTATATCAAAAAAAACATGTCAAGAACATATAAATGTTTTGCTGGGAAATTTGAATATATTACATACACACAGGAAACATCAACCAAATGTTTAAAAGAAATAAGAACTGGCAATTTAATGCAAATAGATACTTGCTTAACCTTTAAAATTTCTCTATCAACATTAAAAAATAAACTGAAAGGTTTACATAATAAAAAACCAGGCGGTCACACAACATTTGGTGAAATTGAAGTAGAAATTTTTCCAAACTGTTATAACTATGTTTTCCTTTGGATTCCCAGTTTACTGTTATGATTTACGAAGTATTGTGAAGTCTTATGCAGACCATAAAGTCATAGTTTTAACTTTAAATAGGTGTTAGACTTCCTAAAAAGACATTTACAAATGAAGATATCATTGTAGAAATAGGTTCTCTTGTCAGTGATTCTCTCATACAATATTTAGTTGAAGCTAGAGGTAATAATCATATACTCCAGGCCTTCTCAGGAGATGTGTGCAGTCACATGCCTTGAATGATCGCACATATATAAGTGCAATAAAATATAGATAAAGTTGTTGCACTTTTAACATAAGTTAAAAATGGAATTGCCCATATATATATATATATATATATATATATATATATATATATATATATATATATATATATATATATATATATATATATATATATATTTACATATATATATATATTGGCCAAGTTATCAAAAAAATATATATATATATATATATATGTGTGTGGTATGCGACCACATGTGTCTCCTGAGAAGGCCTGATACCCCCTAATAAAAAGTGAAATAAAGTTTTTGTTGTCCCAGGAAAAAATGTATCATCAATTGATTTAGTTAATATGAAAGCAGCTATAAATATAAAAAAGACAGAAAAAAAATGACAGTTGTAAAAAAAAACCAACTTATCCATTCTTGAACAGCAAATTATTATAGATAATCTATTGAACAACTCTAGCACTGATGCATAAGTTTTTTATGTTTCAGACATTAATAAGGTTTCTTTGTGATTTGTTAGTTTGAAGTTAGTTTCAAGCTTTGTTTTTAATATTTTTTGCCTTAAAAACATATCACTTAATATCCATGTATCTGTGAATATGTAAAATATTAAACGATTAATCAATAATTATAATTTTCACTTAGATGGCCAGAGACACCACTACTACTATATGAGTGACTATTTTCTAAAAATTATCTAAAAAGATGTAAAATAAAAGACTCAGTAAGAGTGTTACAATTCATTAATATATTAAATTTAAAAAAAAAGAATCATAGATATAATTCTTATATTTTTTACTTTAATCATTTATTTATTTTACATCAGTGTTAGGGTTAGACCATATACCTCTCAAACAAGAAACATTCAACAACTTAAACAAAAAGTGTGTTATCAAAAATGCAGAACTGTTGGAAAAAGATTTACTTTTAAAACCCTTTCGATTTGTCATCCACAGCAAAAAATTCAAATGCATTGACACATCCAAAACAGTCAACATCAATGAAAGAGAGAGGAATCCATTCCTCAAATAGAAATCAGCAGCTGAGGCCCTTAAATTGCTCTCAGCATCTTACTAATTCAACATTTTTAAACAAGGCTAGCTCTTCCTTCAAATTATCTAATCTTTCTTGCTTTTACATTAATGCAACCTCCCTCAATCCAATAAAACTCATCAAACTCTCCTTACCTGCAGAAAACAACTCCTTTGACATTATTTGTATTACCGAGACATGGTTCAATGACCAATCAACTCCCTCTTTTCTAAACTACAACCTCTATAGTTCAGACCGTCTGAACCAAATTGGAGGAGGTGTAGCTATATACACAAGCAATAAAATCATCTCAAACCAACTACAAAAGTCCCTGCTACACAAAAACTTTATTTGTTATTATTCAAAACAGTTATGGGTTGTACTAAAGCTTCTGAATAAACCTCTGCTCCTAGGCTGCATTTGGAGACTTCCATCTTCTGGCATTGAAGCTTTCTCAGATTTCAAATGCTATTTATCATGCCGAAACATCAGTATTAACCAAAAAATACAATGGTATCATCATTGCTGGTGGTTTCAATTTCCCAGAGATTACTTGGACTTTCAAGTCTTCTCCTCTAGTAATATCGGTCTCAGTTCTTCATTTGTCTCTCTTCTTCAATATTGTCATCTTCACCAAATTGTCTCTACTTTCAAACCTGCTAATTGCCCTATGACAAACACTCTTGATCACATAATATGTGACTCTCCATATCATGCTAACGAAATCAACATTGGTTCTCCACTCGATTTGTCTGATCAATATCATTGCTCTATCACCTGGCAATACAAACTGCTTCCACCAAAAAATTATTGCATTTCAACAGCCCTAAATTTATTTACAACCTTGGTAACTAGGAAAAATCAACAAAGAATTCAATAAGGTTGACTAGTCATCTGTTTTTAAAGCCTTAAACGTAGAACAATGTTACCAATTTTGGCTAAACAAATACAATAAATACTGTCCAATTCATTCCTCGTATGCCAAACAAACCATCCCCAATCAAACAACCATGGATGACAAAAGAACTTTTATCTCTGATTCGTCTTAAAATATTGCTGTGGGCTCGTAACATCAGTTCAAAATGGAAAATCTCATCCCTGGTTGAGGAATATCGGGTGGACACGGAAAAATCCGGTCATCTTTAAATTGAGATTTCTCCAAAACCACAAATGCTTTTTATTTAATTTTTTTTTTTAATTAAACCTTACTTTCTTATCTTAAATGGTGTTGATAAATTTTTGTTTACAAATTAATGATTTGCAAAATGTTTTGGAAACAAGTTGAGGTGCGTAAAAAAGTTGTGAATTTTTTTTGCAAAAATCCATCGACTTCCTATCGCTTGATTGCTAAACGCACAAATGTCCCAAATCCACAGTCA